CCTTTGTTTTTTTTTGGGAAATCCCCCAAATTTTTCCCAGGATTTTCTAAAATTTACCGCCACGTTGTAGATGGCCATGCCCACAGCCCGGTGGTCGTTGATTTTCTCCGTGGAGACGCTTTTGGTCTCGTAAGCCAAAAAAATCCCCAGCAGCAGCAGCAGCCCCTTGAATCCATAAAAAATCCCTGGGGAAAAAAATCGGGGAAAAGGGAAAATGAAATCCCAAAAATTCTTTGGGATGAGGGAGAAAAATGGGGCAGAAAAGAGTGAAAATCCCAAAGGAATCATCAGGAATTTCGGCTGAAAAAGTCACATTTCAGCTGAGTTCCACCAAATTCCACCTGACATTCCTCAGAATTCCAAGTTAAATCCTGAAATTCCGCATGAATTCCTGGAATTTCACCCGAATTCCTGGAATTTCACCTCAATTCCTCGAATTCCACCTGAAATCTCCAAAATTCCACCTGAAATTCCTCAAAATCCCGAATGAAATCCTGAAATTCTGCCTGGAATTTCACCTGAAATTCCTCAAATTCCACCCGAGTTCCCCGAAATTCCACCTGAAATCCCCCAGATTTGCCTTAAAGTCCCCCAAATTTGACCTGAGCTCCCAAAATTCCACCCGAACCCCCAAACCTTCCCCCTGGACACCTCAAAATTCCATCTAAAATCCCCAAATTTTGCCCTAAATTCCCCCAAATTTTCCCCCTGGCCACCCCGGAATTCCATCTAAATCGGAATTGCAGGAGAAGGCGCGGAGCGGGAGCTGGAGCTCCGAAACGGCGCACCGAGCCAGGTGTTCATCTTGGTGGAGCTGCAGTGCTCGAGCTGGGGCAGGATGGATACGTCCATGTCCGACTTGGGCTCCTCCTTGGTGAACTCCTGGGGAGAACACCGGGATTTGGGAATTCGGGGCAGTTCGGGGCATTTCCGGGGGGTTTGGGGGTTTTTTTGGGGGGGTTTTGGGACAGATTGATGGTTTTTGGGGGATTTGGGGTGAGTTCCTTGGTGAACTCCTGGGAAAAAATGCCGGGATTTGGGAATGTTTTTTTAGGGGATTTTTGGGGGAGTTCTGGGGTGGTTTTGGGGTAGTTTGATGGTTTTTGGGGTGGGGAGAGTAGGGCAGAATCTCCCAGAACCCCCCCAAACACCCCGAGGAACCCCCAAANTGGGGTGGTTTTGGGGTAGTTTGATGGTTTTTGGGGTGGGGAGAGTAGGGCAGAATCTCCCAGAACCCCCCCAAACACCCCGAGGAACCCCCAAATCCCTGGAGAACCTCCCAGGACCCCCCAAACCCCTGGAGAACCTCTCAGGACCCCTGGAGAACCTTCCAGGACCCCGCAAACCCCTGGAGAACCTTCCAGAAGTCCCCAAACCCCTGGAGAACCTCTCAGGACCCCCGGAGAACCTTCCAGAACCCCCCAAACCCCTGGAGAACCTCCCAGAACCCCCCAAACCCCTGGAGAACCTCCCAGGACCCCCCCAAACCCCTGGAGAACCCTCCCAGAACCCCCCAAACCCCTGGAGAACCTCCCAGGACCCCCCAAACCCCTGGAGAACCTCCCAGAACCCCCGGAGGACCTCCCAGGACCCCCCAAACCCCTGGAGAACCTTCCAGAAGTCCCCAAACCCCTGGAGAACCTTCCAGGACACCCCCAAACCCCTGGAGAACCTCTCAGGACCCCCGGAGGACCTCCCAGGAACCCCGGACCTCGATGGTGCGGTGCAGGGGGTCCACAATCTGCCACACGCTCAGCGTGACCACGTCAAAGGCCACCAGGCCCCCCACGGTGGCGTAGAGCTTCCAGGGCTCCAGGCTCTGCAGGGACACCGGAATTCCTGGTCGGTGACACCGGAATTCCCAGTAGGTGATGGTGGAAATTCCAGTCACCGGTACCGACAGGAACACCCGGATCCTGGTGGAACACTCGGATCCCAAAGGAACACCCAGATCCAAACGGAACACCCGGATCCAAACGGAACACCTGGATCCCAGTGGAACACCCGGATCCCAAAGGAACACCCGGGTCCCAAAGGAACACCCAGATCCCAAAGGAACACCCAGATCCCAGTGGAACACCCGGATCCCAAAGGAACACCCGGATCCCAGTGGAACACCCAGATCCCAAAGGAACACCCAGATCCAAACGGAACACCCGGATCCCAAAGGAACACCCGGATCCCAGTGGAACACCCAGATCCAAACGGAACACCCGGATCCCAAAGGAACACCCGGATCCCAAAGGAACACCCGGGTCCCAATGGAACACCCGGGTCCCAGTGGAACACCCAGATCCCAAAGGAACACCCAGATCCCAAACCAACGCCCAAATCCCAACAACAACACCCATCCCCCGACCCCCCGTCTGCCTGTTGCCCCGGGAATTCCTCACCTTCCGCTTGTCCTTCTTGTCGTCCTTCTTGGTGAAGACGGTGTGCACCCACCAGATCTTGGTGAACATGCTGCCGTAGGCCAGGCTGAAGCCCAGCCCCAGCAGCCACAGCCGCGCCTGCGGAACACCCGCCGCCAGAGTTGGAACGCGCCGCCACAGTTGGAAACGGCGCCGCCGCCTGTTCCCGCCCCCCGGGTTTCCCTTTTTCTGGTTGTTCCTCCGGTTGTTGCTGTTTCTTTCCATCCCTGGTGGTGTCTCCGCCTGTTCCCATCCCATTTCCCCCCTCTCTCTGCCT